CAATAGAATTGAAGAGGTCGTTCTTCGTGTATTAGTCCAGCAGGATCATGCCGCTTGTTGATCTCATAGCCCAGGTAAATGCATTTATCGATTTCTTCCATGTTTTTCCCGTATAATACTACCTGGCCCTCATTTGGCACAGCATCCGATTGCAGAATCTTTGTCTTTCGCTGCTTCATTCGCAATCTGACTTCTTACTGGTTCTCTCTAGATCTCTCAGCATGTCTCGTAGTTGATTGACATTTTCCGCATACAGCATCATGTCATCAGCAAACCTTGGGTAACCTATCTGTTCGTCGTTTATGTTAGTTCCATCCTTCCTCAGGAGCACCATTACTAAACAAGCGGCGAACAGTTTGCTGAAAAGAGTGTCCTTTTGTTTCATGTCTGTCTCTTCGGGTATTCGCACGGAGGTGTCGAACATCGTGATGTTTGTGAAACAGCCAGAACTCGCTTCCTTTAACAGGTTGATGTGGCGGATGTTCAAGATTTGTTCCACCCACGCAGTTCATACTGCGTTATGCCCGATGGTCAACGAAGGATATGCACGGAAGGAGCTGCAATTCCTTCGCGCGCTCGGAGTTCACTTAAATCAAAACTGTTATCCGTTGTGCTGTAGCTGCTTATGAATTCTGGCTGTTCTCGTGGCTGATTTCGTTCAGACTTCTTGATATTTCGTGGTGATCTTAGTGAATAGCATGTAGATTCTGGAGAACAGGCATAATAAGCGATAGTGTTCCAGATATTTCTTCTCCCTTTTTGGAACAAAGAAATTGTTTTTGACTCCTTCTAGCCTCAAGATATCCTTTCCGCTTTCAATTAGCAATTAAACCTCCTGGTACAGACCTCTACCGCGTCTGATCACCCTTCTAACCGTTTCAATTGTCAGACCGTCCCTTTGGCTTTCCCTTCATCCATTTGCTGCACGGTATGCCGGACCTTGCAAATGAGGGCGGGAACTATACTTTTCTGTGGCTGTTGAAGTGGTAGTCTTGGCATGCGCGTCTTTTACGCAAATAGCTGGGTGCAAACGTTCATCTCTGTCAGGCGTTAAGGCGCCATCCTCGTTCTTCAACGCAGCGATGGTCGACTGTTAAAGTGTCAACTCTTTTCT